ATGACAACTTTTAGTTTGTTTTTTGAGGCCTCTGTAAGCCTACATTCACACTGCAGGCAAATATGTCCCAAATCTCATTTGTTTCTATCCAAGCAACCCATACTGGAATTTTTCTGAATGTGACAAATCTGATTTTTTTTAAATGTGACCTAAGTCTTTTTGGTATGTGGTACTAAATCTGATGCTTCTCAAAGCGACTGAAGTCTGAACAGTCATGTCACATTTCATCTGACTTTTACGACAATGAGGTGGGGTATAAGAKCAGTCCAAGTAATAAAGATACCAAACTTGTGCAGTTTCAATCTTGTAACTCCAAGTTTGTAGCCACAGAACAGAAGTCCTGTTATATCATGAGAATCCACAGAAACGTAACTTTGATCTCGGACCGTATCAATACTAAAGTTACTGGATCAATATTTTTCTTTCATCAAGTTGCTCTGTTCCATAAATTCACGCTGCACCAGAGCAGCCGACCAGAGGACAGCTCACCTACAAACAGTGACCTAAACAAGCCTCGCTTCTGATTGYGCAACTTTAGAATCAGTACACATGTGTTAATATGTAGCATCCTTAGGCCTACTTGTGTAAACAGCATGCTGAATATGATGTCACGTCATTTTCTGCACAGGCAGGTCGCATCGATGGCATAAAGCATTCACACTAGAGTTAAACAAAGGTCACATTTAAAATATAATGTTAATGTTCATGCAACGATCGGATCTGAGCCAAAATCTGGAACTGAGCAATAAGACCTTCAGTGTGAAGGCTAGGTGTGTGGAAATTGCCAGCTTGTATTTGTTATTTTTCAGAAAATTAATTTGCTAGAAATGACATCATTAATGAGAAAGTAGCTTGTTAGCATAAATAGTTCAATCTAAAGTTTGTTAATGGTCACAGAAAGTAGCTAACATTTAAAAGTTGAGGTAGAGTTTAGAAAGGCTATAGTGTAAGGGGTAAAAAAATAAAACTGTTTTGTAAATGACAATGTGAATTTCTTTCATTTTCWCTTTATGTAAATGTATTCCATAAGGAAGATAGGAACCCAGTTGTACTCACATTGGTACTGGCCCATTAAAGGGGCAATATTATGTGTTCCATAGGCATACATTTAAATACTATACCAAAATAAAGAATCTATGTCACCTTTAGTTGTTATTCAAATGCTGTTTTTATGTTTAAATAGAAAATAAACATATTTTCACATCACTTCCTCTTCTAAACCCCTTGAAATTGGCCTTTGTCTCTTTAAGAACCTCCTTCCGCTTCTGTCTCACCCATTTCAGTGCAGGTGTGTGTGGGGGGGGGG